TATTTTTAAAAGGGTGGATGATTCATCGTTTACTTTTTTCTAGAAAAAAACTATACATGACATAACTTCTGTTTTTTATAGAATCTGATTGCTGAAAAAATAGGGCCTTAATTTTTTTTTGTAAAAAAACTATTTTAACCTATTTTTGATAAAAAAAAAATACATTGAAAAACATATTTGTGGCCTTAAAAAACCAAGAAACAACTCAAAAAACAAAATAAACATGAGCCTAAAAATATTCTCATGATCATATTTATCTTCTTAGACAAGGAGAAGGAAGAAAGATATCTAGGTGAAACAATCTAAATGAAATGAAACCCATTGACATGGATTGTTTTTTTTTCTAAAATCATTGTTAATGATGATTTTTATACTGGAATTTGACGAGTCACTCTTTTCTTTAAAAAAAAAATTTAAAAATAAGAAAAATAAAGTTTGGTATTAAAATTAATTTTTTGACAACTAAAAGGATTGATCACCTAATAATTAAACAAACAAGGAATTAAAATGAACTTTGTAAATAAAATTCAAAGACACCATGTATTCCAACTGCTCTTTTCAACTTAGTTCTAGCTTTTAACCCAACATTTTTTTTCAAAAAAAAGAAGCAATAGAGTGCTAATTCAAGCTTAAAAGAACTCAATTATAAATAAAATAGTTTAAGGATGATATTAAAAACTTATTAAAAAAATAACTATCCAATCCACCGTGATAAAAAAACATCTCACTTCTTAGGGCTTTTTTTTAAGTTTCTTTCTTAGACTTGCCTGATAAAATAGTACTTGATATTATGATAATTTTTTTTCTCTCTTGACTACCAAAAAAAATTGTCTGCATCATCCAACCTTAGTTTTTTAGGAACTAAAATAATATATTTTTCACCTATAAAGACATACTTTTCATTTATTTTGCATCTAAAAATCCTTCTCATAACATGCATGTAATTTTTAAACTAACTTTTTAAAGTATTTTTTTAAATTCAGTTTTTTAACCGATAATCATAAAAGCTATTACAATACTAAATACACATAAAAAAATATTAAATATCTTAATATTTTGTCTGGTATAGGAAAAAAAGTGTTTTTTTAAATAAAGTTATGAGAAAATAGTATATTTTTGAAAATATACTACAACTAAAACCCGTGTCATTTAAAAAAAAAAAGTTACAGATTTAAATTTTAGGTTTTTCAATCATGTTAATTAATTAATTTTTTTTTCTCGAGTTAGTTTACTTATTATTTTTTAAACTATGCTCCTTTTCAAAATAATTACGAAATTAGAGGAACAAGGATGGATAGAATTCTAGATTGGATTGATAGTTTCAGCCGATTTCTAGGGTGGTTGGAAGTGCTTTGAGTATCAGAGAAAACTCACCTATCTTGTTGTTTTGTATTAGTTCATGTGCATTATCTAGGCCTTGCTGCTTTATCTAGGTCTCCTTTATAGCATGTTTGTTGCATGGTTTCTTTCAGGAAATCAAAAATATAACCACAACATAAAGTGATTGTCCGACTTGAGTATAGATTAATCAATGACGCGTGGAATAATAATATCACTTCACACTTATAGTATATTTTTCTATTTTTTAAAATTATTCAAAATCTTTTAAAAAATAATTTAAAACATAAAAATATTAAAAATATTTTTTAAACAAAAAAAACACTTTTAAATATATTTAATATTATTTTAGTTTTTTCCATTGCAGTTTTATAATTAAAATTTTAAAAGAATCCCCCCCCCCTCTCTCTATACATGCATATATATATATATATATAATAAAATAAAATACAATTTCTTCCCTCATTCGTTACACCATCTCCTGAAACCAACATTAAATTTCGTTAGAACATTTTTATATCAAGGGGAAGTTACCTGATATACAACCTAACGTTCTTCTTTTAGGTTTTTTTTTTACCAATAAGAAGATATAAATGTTAATGATGGCTTTGGAGATGCAAAATGATAAAAGGAAACATTAGATAAAAAAACTATAAGGAGTAGGCAAAGTAATATTGAGTCGCACTGTTCATACACACACAAATGTTTTATGAGTGGTGTCGTTTTATTTTTTATTTTTAATAATTCATTTTAGTCTTTGAATTTTTATCTTATAATAAAAAACTAATTCATGTTGATTTTTTAGTTAAGAATGGAATGAAAAGAACAGAGGTTGAAATGTAAAAAACACCAAACATCGACAGTGTATTAGAAAATATTTAAAAAATACATTTAAATTCTCAAAATTTTAAATTAATACAATTTATATAATTTAGACCCCTTTAAATTTAAAGTAAATCAATCTTGATATAAAAGTTTCTTGATATTATTTTTTATCCTAAATTATAGATAATAGAGGAAGGTTACTGGATTTTAGGGACAAGAGAGAAGGTTTTCATTATTTCCAACCATTGAAATAAGACTTTTTTCACGGATTTATTTTTAAATAGTGTTGTGTATATTTAATTTTTTTAATTTTTTTTTAATTTATCTATATTTTTTCAATCTTTTATATAAACTAACTTTATTTTTTAAAAATAAAAAATAATTTTTTATTAGATAATATTTATAATACGTGTAATTTTACATAATATTTTTTTATTTTATTCAATCAATTTAATATGTATTTATTTTTAGTTATTATTAATAATTATTTTTATTTTTATTAATATATATAGTTGTTGATTTATTTAATTATATGCATGCATAAGTTTTTTAGTTAAATTATTTTTTATGCATAAAAATACATTAAAAAAGTAAATTTATAGAAAAAAAATTAAAAAAAAATTAACCCATAACAAAAACGAATCAAATAACTATTACAGCTTAAAAGATGGCGTCATACCAGAACTAAAAAACCAACTGAGGGAGAAACCAAGAACATGTCGAAATCATTTTAAAATATTCGAGAAGTGTGGTATAGTGAAATTAATTCCACTCAAGTACCATGGAAAAGGAAGAAGTCGTCATTGCATCTCTCCCCTTTTTTCTTTCTTTAACAACCAAATGGAGCTAATTAACCAAATTATTATGACTATGACTCTGACTGAGACTGCTAACCATCATCTCTCACGAAGCCCACTTGAGGAGAACAAAAAGAGAGAGAAATCTCTTTCTATCTTGACTATGCCGTTTCTTCTTTTCTCCATCTCCACTGCGAGCCAAGACAAGGAATCTTCCGTGGGAGATCAGGGAAGGCTCTAAAATGGTCTTAACAGGGGAGAGAAACCTGAGAAATCTCCACGATCAAGACACACCCTCCCTCGAAGCAGCACCAAAAAGTACAGCAAAGACATATGGGTCCATGGCGGGGGTGAAAAGCATAGGACAAAAGTGTGCATGCAGCTGGGCATGCACTTGAGTAGGCATGAGTGGTTTCCCATGTGCAACCACTCTATTATCCAAACCCCTCCTCTATCACCTCCTGTCCCCAATAACCACCTTCCTCGCTTAATTAGAATTATCAATAATGGATGTTGTATGATTTGCAAACTGCTTTCCTCTTGGAGTAATAATCTATTCAATGCATCACTGCTAGCTGCAGTACTGAATCTTATAAATCCACCATAGCTTGCTACCTGCTCAGTTGAAGTGGAAATTAATGGAAGTTGTTGCCTCTGAGGAGAAAACTAGGCCACGAATGAGGAGAACACTAGGCCTCGAATTGAATGGAATTGTTGGTGCATTAAGCACATGATCTTTGTAATTTCCATGAGAAAATGTTGAGATCGATCTCTATCAGTTCATATATATTTCGATGGAATTTGAACATTTAAAAAGAGCATTTCTTTCCTATTTTATTAGATAAAAGATATATTTTTCATATATGTAGGTTTATATATAGCTTATTGTAGGCAGAATAAAATAAAAAACACCAGACATTGAAGCAAATGTAATTTGTATTTTTTTACTATATACCCGATTTTGTAAAATAAAATTTTATTTTATTATTTATAAAAAAATGATATTGTGAAGATCTGAAATTTTTCCTCTAGAATTTTAATTAGGTCTTTTTTTTCTAATTTCTCTCATGGAGCTTATAAAAAAGAAAATTAGCCACTTGTCACACACATATATGTATTCTCTATTCATTGCTTCCATTTCCTCAATACCCGAAATTCTCTCAACTCCCGTTTTTCTTTATTGTTCTTTCAAATTTTATTATTGTTAAGTATTTTTTAATCTTGTAAAACATTTTGAACGATTTTTATTATTATATCCTCATATAATTCAAGAGTATTTATAAAACAGAAAACTAAGATTTATATATCAATTTAGATTAAAAAAAAACTTGATATAATAACATGAGAATTAGATATTAATTAGACGGATATATTGAAAACCGATCAAACTACACAAGAATATTGGATTTAATTATTTACCCTTTACTAATAATTAGTAACAAGATCATCTTTTCTCTACATGAGGTGATTTTGCCTTGGATCTGGATCCTGTTGACAATACAAATGCCACAATAATTGTTCCATGAGTAGCAGATGGTGTGAACATGTTGTTTTTTAATTAAAGTCTACAAACATTTTTTTTTAGTTTTAATTTGTTCAAAAAAATAGAGTAATGCCAAGCTCACCAATTATATATATATATATATATATATATATATTCTGATTGATGATGATTGATTTAGACTACAAACCTAGTTAGATTCATGTTGATAAATTTTTTAAAAATAAAATAATTTTGTTTTAATAAAAAATAGTTAACCCAAATTGATATAATTTAAGTAATGTTGCGGATATTTTTCAAATCTGAGAAGTAATTGGCCACGTAATGCCTATAATTGTTGGAGAAACATGCATCTTTCTCAATTAGCACTTGGTGATTGGAAAGACCAGCAATGTTTTCCTCTGCACAGGCTAGATTTTCTACAGACTCCATGGTTATTACAACAGTATTGGTAGTGTATTATTACGGTAAACGAAGACTAGAAAAAGACATTAAAGAAAGTTGGTGGTTATAGATAGACAAGTGTAAGGTTTCCAAAGTTGCTTTTCTCGTCGATGTTAGTTATTCTCTTTATCCCTCCCTCTCTCTTCCCTTCATGTTTTCTCCCCTACATTCACGCCGCTCTTGCTTGCAATTGCACACATTTTTGTGCTCTCTCTTCCTTAAACTAAGCCGAGACAAGAACAGACAAATTGCTTCAGCATTTCCATATTCTATCACGATCTCTAGCTACACCTGTTTTTGATTCTCTCGGCACACAGACTTCAAAGGGGTGGCCAAAATATGTCTGAATTTCCTTCACCATCAACCACCGCCAAGAAAACTGACCGCTTGTCAAGTCTTCTCCTCTCTGACTTGTTCCTCTTCTGTTCTTTCATTCTTTCCCACCCTCTATATTTCTCCTACTTGGTCTTCTTCTCCCCGTACCTCTTCAAGCTCCTTTCTTTTCTATCCCCTCTCTTCATCACCACTTCCCTTTTACTCCTAGCCCTTCTCACCATCTCTCCCAGTCTTGTCAATGACAACTCTCATACTGAATTGTATGGATCCAAGGTGAGTTTCTTTTACCTACAAACATACCAAGCTGTTGTCGAGAGGTTACGGTCTAAAGTAGTAGATGGGAGTGAAGAGTTTCATCATTTTGAGGCGCTAGAAGCGTATAAGATTGTTTTTGAGACGTCAACTCTTGGTATTGAAGAAAACCACGCTGTTGAAGTCACGGAAGTAGAACAAGCTAAAGATCAGAGCGCCTGTTCAAGTACTGGTCAATTGGTACAGGTTCACGAGGGTTCAATATTTCATCAAGTTTTTGGGGCCGGTGGGGTCTCTGATCAAGTGGTCAATGCTAATCTAGATGAAAATTCAGTTTTGAGTACAAGGTCAGAAAGTAATGGTCATGAGCTGATTGCGGAGGGGAAGACGTTAGGAGGCTTCTTGCATCAAAAGGAGGAGTTTGAAGATATATGGTTCCAAAAGGAAGAAAAAGAAGCACTCAAGCCACTTAACGTGAACTTCAATAAAGCCGAAGATCGAAAAGAAGAACAATCTATGATTATAAGCGGATCCAAGGAAATAGGTCAAAAGATAAGTGAAGCTAAAGTGAGTGACGATGATGGTGGAGAGCACTACTACTCTCCAAAGCTGAGCTCCCAAGAACTAGAAGCAAACGCTTGGAGTCCAGGTAATGGTGGAGGCTATAATTCCAAAGTTAAAGACAACTCTCAAACATTGGGGCACTCGAACCTTGGGAGTTTTGGGTCAATGAGAAAAGAGAAGGAATGGAGGAGGACATTGGCATGCAAGCTTTTCGAGGAGAGACACAATGTGGATGGAGGTGAGGGCATGGATATGCTTTGGGAGACATACGAGACAGACTCTATTAAAGTTCAAGCGAAAGGCAGAGCAAAGAAGGGAAAGAAAGGCAGCATCGAGTACTATGATGATGAGGAAGACCTGGAAGAGGAAAAAAGTGACGGGCAGCTGTGCTGCTTGCAAGCCTTGAAATTCTCAGCCGGGAAGATGAATTTGGGGATGGGAAGGCCAAATCTTGTCAAGATCTCCAAGGCCCTCAAAGGAATTGGATGGTTGCACCATGTGAGCAAGCATAGCAAGAAGGGACATCATTAAACCAAGTTGTACTTCGACCTGTTCAAAGCTTTAATGGCTTAACAAACTGTTATGTATTCTGTTCAAGGATAAAAGTAAATACCAAGTTCTTTTTTTTATCCCGTAAGAAATTATGGTATACATTTTCTACTCCAATAAATGTCAAGATTGAATCCCTTAGACATATATAGAGTTGGTGAGTGATAATTAAGCTCTGCTGCTCCTTTAGCTAGCTTGTAACCAGGTTCGGAGCTGGTTAGACTGAGCTCCTCTGCTCAGCATAATAAATTTAGGAACCATAAAAGATGGCGCATGATCATGACGCCTAGGCATGGCCAAGAAAATAATTGAATCACTGATGAAGAAGTCTTGCCCACTTCATACGAAAGGCGTGTGGGTTCGCATGGGGCACGCAGTGATTGCTGGCAGGATTATCATTTCAGAGTTGCACTTGTTCGGTACTGCATGTGTCCAGCCCAAGACAATTTCTCCATGTCCGAGTCTCAGTTTAAGGCACAGTTATAAAACACTGCCCCATGTAGACCCAGAACAAGGTTTGATCACAGGTTTCACAGGTTTGATCGGTTTGCAGGGTTAATCTAAGTTTTTTAATTAAAAAAATTAAAATGATATTATTAAAAAAAAAAAACTTCAAAAAACAATAAGAGTCAGGTAGGTTAGGTTGGGATCAACAAATCAAATCAAGTTTTTAATTGATCCACTCGTCTGAGGTCAAATGAGAGAAAAGGAATTAAAAAAATTTAATTGTAAGGACTAAACTGGATTATTGCTGAATCCAGGTCAGCTATAAATATCCATCTTCGATGTATCTATCTAAAGTCTCTCTCCAAGCATGTTTATCTTATTTCTTTCCCTTTTTGTTAATTTAGTTTTTATGATACTGAATGTATTATCCAAATTTTCTGAACTAATTTGAGTGAGAAATTTTAAATAATTTCACAGAACGAAGATTTTAGGTTGTTGTTTTTGGGAAAATCGGGTAAGGGTTAAAAAGCTCCAAGAGATCTGAATTGTCCGAAATGAAATAATTTTTTTTTTTAATTTAGAGATGTACAGGTAATTGTTACTGGGTTGGAAAAGAGATAAAAATGCATTTGTTAAAAAAAATTCAAATTATTTTGGAGAATTTGATTTTTCTTATTTATTAAAATATTATTTAAAAAAAAGATAATTCAAAGAATTTTAAAAGAAATTGAATTAGCAAGTTTTTACCTGAATTATCTAAATGGCTATCTAATAAGTTCATAAAATTATAATGAATTATATTGATATAGTAATTAAGAAGACGTTTTTTTTTTAAGTCTCTGGATTTAAACTTTAAAACTAATATCTAAAAATCTGTTATCGAATTTCTTTTAATACATAAAATAAAATAAAGATATATTTTTAAGATATCATAAAATAAAAATTTCTAAAAACACCTCTTACAATCATATGATAAAATCACTAGAAGACAACTAATATATATATTAGCATATTGGCCTGGATCAATGATAATTTTTAAAAAAATATTAAAAAAATATAAAATATAAAGAATTTATTAAATGTTTTGGATTTAATCATCAAGCTAAATTTTAAAATAGTTTTAGGTCTGATTGCAAAAACTAATTACACAGCATTGGACTTGATAATTAAGCTGAATCTAAATGTTTTGGATTTTACAATTAATAAATCTAAAAGCTACTAGATCTAGCTAGAAAACTGAACCAACATTATTAGACTTGCTGCTTGTTGGAGGAAAAACTCAATGTTACTGGGATCTTCTGGGTAACATTAAAAAAAAAAATGAAATTCATCCCAACCCAACATCAAATAAAAAAATTATTATTATTTAATTTTTATATAATATAAAAAATCTTATTGATTTTTTTCTTTACATTGTGAAAAAAATTAAATAAAAAAATAAAAAATTTTAAAAAGATAAAAAACTAAAATTAGACATATCAAAATTTAAATGTTAGTCAAAATTAATGTTTGTTGGAAGCGAATTGCGCCTGTTGTCTAATAATAATGGATCTGATTGTTAAGTTATACATAATAACTTTTAACAAAAAAAAACAATGCTCTAGTAACAAAAAAAATAAAAAGGATAATTCCCTTATTTACAGTGAAAAGAATATATATCAGTATAATAAATCCATATCCATAATATGTATAATATTTTTAGCATGTATTTTAAAGTAAGTAAGTATATTTTATATATATATATATATAGAGAGGGTTCCTAACACCAAGCTATCATGAATAGACTGCAATGCAGTCTGGATGGTTTGACTGAGGCTGATCAGTTCACACTAGATCCCGCGTCACCTCACCGCCACTAACCACTTGGCATCACCCAGACTAAGAATAAAAGTAAGCGTAATCTCAGCCGTCCATCTTAATTACTTCCCAAAACTCACCGTGGGGTCTACATTTTGATTTCACCAGATCTCGCTCGAACCCGTTAATTAAAAGAAAGTCTCTAAAACCTGCAAGGCTGTAACCAACAAATAGCAGCGTAAAAGAGAGACTTCCTGTACCCGTCTCTGACTGTTGCTTTATCATCCTCGCCATCCATCGCCATTTCTCTCTATATCTCTCTCTCTCGCTAAGAAACCGAAAGCAGAAAAGGAAACGAAAATGGCGACTCATAGAAGCTCGCGCAGTGGAATCGGCGTTTCGTTTCGGGTGTTGGGTTCGGCTGTATCACTGGCAGTGTTTCTGTGCTTGACCGTGTCTCTTCTCTTCACTGCTCACTCTCACTCTACCACCGACACCCATGTAAGCTCTCCCTCTTTAGATCTGATTCATGATTAATTATTTAATTAACTAACTAATTGTGATTAATGTTAATTTATGTGAAAATGTAACGGAAATCAAAGCATTAATTATTAAAGTTAGAAGTATAATCCTGTTATTTCTCTGTTTTTTTCAAAATATTTGATGTAGGGTTTCAGTAATGTGGGATACGGGTTGGGATCCGGCAGGAGATCCGTGCTGGCGATGAAATCGGATCCGCTTAAGTCAAGATTGGATCAGATCCGGAAGCAAGCGGATGATCACCGGTCACTAGCGCATGCGTATGCATCGTATGCGCGGAAACTGAAGCTTGAGAATTCGAAGCTTGTTAGGGTTTTTGCTGATCTGTCGCGGAATTACACTGATCTTATCAACAAGCCAGCGTATAGGGCTCTTTCCGAGTCGGATTCTCTGTCCATTGATGAGGCTACGCTTAGACTGTTTGAGAAGGAGGTGAAAGAGAGGATCAAAGTTACGCGGCAAGTGATTGCTGAAGCGAAAGAGAGTTTTGACAATCAGTTGAAGATTCAGAAGTTGAAGGATACTATTTTTGCGGTTAATGAACAGTTAACCAAAGCGAAAAAGCAAGGGGCGTTTTCGAGTTTAATTGCTGCGAAATCGATACCTAAGAGTTTGCATTGCCTTGCGATGAGGTTGATGGAGGAGAGGATTGCTCATCCGGAGAAGTATAATGATGAAGGGAAGCCACCCCTTCCGGAGTTGGAGGATCCGAAGCTTTATCATTATGCGATTTTCTCTGATAATGTGATTGCAGCGTCGGTGGTGGTGAATTCCGCGGTGAAGAATGCAAAAGAGCCATGGAAACATGTTTTTCATGTTGTGACTGATAAAATGAATCTCGGGGCAATGCAGGTTATGTTTAAATTAAAAGATTATAACGGGGCACATATAGAGGTGAAAGCTGTTGAGGATTATAAATTCTTGAATTCTTCGTATGTGCCTGTGCTTAAGCAATTGGAGTCGGCGAATCTGCAGAAGTTTTACTTTGAGAATAAGCTCGAGAATGCAACCAAGGATACTACAAATATGAAGTTTAGGAACCCCAAGTACTTGTCAATCTTGAATCATTTACGGTTCTATTTGCCGGAGATGTATCCAAAGTTGCATAGAATATTGTTTTTAGATGATGATATAGTGGTGCAGAAGGACTTGACCGGGTTATGGAAGATAGATATGGATGGGAAGGTGAATGGAGCTGTGGAGACCTGTTTCGGGTCATTTCATAGGTATGCTCAGTATATGAATTTCTCACACCCCTTGATCAAGGAGAAGTTTAACCCAAAGGCTTGTGCTTGGGCGTACGGCATGAACTTCTTTGATTTGGATGCTTGGAGGAGAGAGAAGTGCACGGAAGAGTATCATTATTGGCAGAACCTGGTAAGATTACCTTACTGTTCTGTAAATTCTGTTATGTTGTTATTTCCCTGTTTCTTTTTAGCATGCCCTAGTTCATCGCTTAGATTTACACCAGGGCATATGCTAGACTGTTTCGGCATAGAATGACGTTTTCTAATCTCCAATTCTTTATCGCAATCCAGCATTAGAAGAAAAAAATATGGACAGCGTCCTATAAAAGGCGCAGCGTAGTTTTTGCAAGCATATTACTTTCTGAAAAAAAAACTCCTACAACTTGATGACCTTAAATCTCCAACTCTAAATTAGTTGGGATGGTCTCTCATGGCTGTAAATACTAAAACAAGGTTACATGTCTGTAAAAGCTGCGATTTTTGTTCTCTCTTTGATGCCCTGTACATTATTAACTAGAGATTCTGATGGTGATGCAGAATGAGAACCGAACCTTGTGGAAATTGGGGACGCTGCCCCCAGGTTTAATCACATTTTACTCAACAACGAAGCCGCTAGACAAGTCATGGCATGTCCTGGGTCTTGGGTATAATCCTAGCATTAGTATGGATGAGATTCAGTCTGCTGCGGTGGTGCATTTCAATGGGAATATGAAGCCGTGGCTTGACATTGCAATGACCCAGTTTAAACCTCTATGGACAAAGCATGTTGACTATGAGTTGGAGTTTGTCCAGGCCTGCAATTTTGGTCTCTAAATACCCTTCATGGTTGAAGCTTCCTCGCAGTAGATTTGCATTGCCACTAAAACCTATATCTTTTGTCCTCTTGTTACACCACCGTCAATTATTCGCATCCAAGATGGAAGAAATCCAGCGCCACCCCAAGTGTAGCATAAGTTAAATTAATTTTAGATTTCTTCTCCCGCTTATTTATACAAAGCATGTCAACTAAAATGTGTATTTGACCGCAAGGTCTACTAGCTACAAAAAAACGTGGTTGGATTTTAATGTTATATTGTTCGAGAATTTCTCAAATGTCTGCTTAATCTTCTACCATGCGAGGATATCCTCACGGATCCGGATCCGGATCCGGTTTTATTTTAATCCATGCCAGAACTAGAACTTAAAATAACTATCCATTGACCCGACTGGGATTAACTTTAATATGAATGCAATGATTTATAATTAATTAGTACATGATTAGTTTAATTCAAGTTCGGGTTAGGTACATCAACCTGACTTTTAGGTTCTAACTGATCTTGATGGGATCAGTGTCTATCAGATTCAATTAAAAATCGTCGTCATCCCTGTCGGAGGATTGCCGTCCCTATCTCCAGAGGATTGCTGTCGACAAATATTATGTTCGCGGGGCAGAAAGCTAGCTCTCGAGAAATATTTGAATGCACGCGTCGACAATTTTTTCCCACTAGCGATGAGAAAGGTAAAAGATTCGCCAGAGAGGCATTTACCAAGCGTGCGCGCCTGGATGGAAAGCATTAAAAAATTTAGAAAACTAGTCGGGGATGATTTTTCTTGGACGCGAGCATCCGTGCACACACATCACCATGAGCCTCGAGGATAAGAAAAATTAAGGTCCCCACATGGAGACTTGAAATGATGTGACGTGGATTTAGAAATAGAGCATTCCAGAATTAGTATTACCAAACAAGAGAATTTACTAGCATCCATCAAGAACCATTCAATACCAAAGGAAAAATGGGAAATAAGTGACATTTCAGATTTAGTATACCAGACAAGAAGATTTACTAGTATCCACCCAGAACGATTCAATACCAAGGAAAAATGGACAAAACCCTTCAGAAAATTCAAGAAACCTCATCCATTGAAGTGTAAGCGCTCTCCTAATACTATCTCACTAAAAACAGAAACTTCGACCATTCCACAACAATTCACAAGTCACTGATCTTCAAGCCGTTGCAGATACTCTTGGCGCTGTAGTCTTGGCTGTGCTGTTAAGACCTAAACCACCAGTTCGGTTTGCCCGACCACCATTGTTCCCCATCTTATCAGCTCTCCGATAGCCATCGCCTCCGCCTCCACGGTTTGAATACCCATCACCTCCACGATTTGCATATCCATCGCCTCCACCTCCACGATTTGCATATCCATCGCCTCCACGATTTGAATATCCACCGCCTCGACTGCCACCTCTGTTTCCAAACTCTGTTCTGTTACCACTTTCAATCCTGCCATAGACTTTTCCTCCAAGATTACCACGCCCTCTCATTCCTTCGCTTTTATATCCAGCCCCTGATCCAGATGGAAATCGCCCCCTATTGTTCCCTGTGGTGAAGAGAGAGATAGATAAGCTCAATCACATTAGAGGAAAAAACCACTTCTTGCTTAAACTGATTGTATACTCCTTGCTAAATCACATTTTCCAGTTTTACAAGCACAAATGCTGTCCTGCACCATACAGACCAGTACACGGAAACATTATAAAAATAGAGATGTCACTATGAAAAAACGGTCTGAGGATATTCACTTTCTGAGATAGATAAGGCACCTTCAATCTGTATGAATAACCTGGATTTTCAGGTCCTATTGGAACAGATTACTAAAAAGCCACAATGCATTTTGTTTACATTAGGCATACCTTTCAATTATTTCAGTTTGGGGCGTGATAATATATAGCATGATGGCTTAAGACATCAGCTCCTTTTTCAAACAGAAACCCTCCATGTTATATATAACTGATAGACGCTCTAAGGAGATTATAAATGATGAAATTCTTACAATGTAGGGGGTTACTATATATTAACTTTCCTAAAAGAATAGACATTGAAGTTCTATCATAAATTTTTTTGATTTGATCAAATCTCCAATTCTTTATTCTAAATAGAACTCCTGGGCTCAAGCTAAATCACTAGACATCATTTTAGTCAAAACTGTTACAAATCAGTAAAAAGAATCATTCTCACACATTGCAAGTGAATAGGATGATAGATCTTAAAGTAACAAAAATTTGATGATAAAATTCAACTTGCCTCGGGAAGTAGATCTCTTTTCCTCAACAACAACACGGGATCCATTAATCATAACAGGTGAAGCCTGCAACATCAATGAGCTTATAATTAACATATAAATTAACTAAACTAATTTGACAAAAGAGCTTGAAAGGATGAAAAGCTCCACCTACATGCTGGAATCACAGAAGAAAATAAAAGGAACAGTTTGAAAACATTAAGACTTCTTATCATAAGAAGATTAATGAAAAGGAAACACAACTAAAAGGTTGCGACAGGCATATTGCTGATAACCCACGATTAAATGTCCAATTTACTAGTTCAAGTGAAAAAGCAAACAAGACATCTCAAAATTCTAACAAGAAATCATGTCATAGTGGAATAAAAACATAATATTTAAATGAGGAAACAAACTGACTGATCTATCTGCAGATAAAATAAAAAGAACAGAGCATATGCAATAGCATAGCATGGTAGATGGAAACCTCTAATGCACTTTGCACAGCACTCGCCACTTCAAACTCCACAAAGCCAAAACAAAATCCCTGACAGAAACCAATGGATAACATGAATTAGAAGAATACCAAGGATAACTGACCAAAAACAAAGAAAAAAACGTGATGCCTACCTTTTGGAATCTAACTTGAATGCCACCATTCCTAATAGGTCCAAACTTCTTGAACTCGTTTTCAAGCAAGGTAGTTGTGGCATCTAAAGGCAGACCTTTCACGTAGATAGAAGGACCCTCTGTAAACAACCAATTGAATGAATAAGTAGGTCAGGTATGCAAGCATGCACATGAACAATCATTGAAGATTTGGTAAAAAAACACCAGAGCAATTCAAGGACCAAGCACCTTCACTCTCTTGGGCATTCCCATTTTCAATAGTATTAGAGCTGGAGACATGTGACTCGGCTGCTGGGGGTTGAGACAATGCAGCAGTCACTTGTTCTTGAATTTTTGGTGCAGACCTCAGAGGAGAAGGGGTAGGACTCGAAAAAGGTGCAGTGTACTCCTTCGGAACTTTCACCTGGCACAGAATTGGAAATAACTTAGTAAAAACAAATCCAATGACGGAGAGGAGAGAGAACATGGCAAACAATATCAGCTGAATCTATACCAGTAAACACTTGTGAATGTTCATACTCGAGGGAGCTTAATATGCATATCTTAGTGGCAAAATGACAGTGAAGAAACAGCAAATTGAGGGGTTGTGAAATGCTACTTACAACGGAGGCATACGACTTCTTCGGAACATCTTCAATCTTAGCACTAGACTCGACCACAACCTGGGAGTCAGCCACTAACTGGGAATCAGGAGGAATTTCATCAACAACCTCAGGCATTGGTTCTTCCTCTTCCTCTTCCTCAACTGAAACATCCCCACTTTCCTCTTCCTCTACCTCAACTGAAACATCCCCACTTTCAGAGGGATTGTACACTTCCCCTCCAATGACTTCCTCAGACAAAGCAACTGTTGGCTCAGAAATGTGAGTTTGCTGTGTGTGAGGGGTATCTGAAAACAGAAACACCTTCAATTTCAATAAGGGGGCTGGAAAATAGATGCTCATTCAAAGAATGATCTGTTTTTCATTACCCTGGTCAGAAGCGAGTGGGGCTTCAAAATTGCTGGCAGGCTCTTGATTTCCATTCTGGTGTGTGGAGTCATCAACATACCGAAACACATCATTCAGCACAAAATAGCCTTTTTCTTGAGGAGCCAGGAAGAAGCTCTGAGTAAATTTTTGTCGCAAGCTGTCATTTGCATTCAAATACCCAGTCACTAGCACAAGAACTCCGCCTTTGTAAGATTCTTGTGAATCAACTGTAACAATTTCTGCCCTGACTTGACCATATCCAAGTGAAAGTATCTTCTCATTAATAGCCTGCCCCACATTTACAGACAAAAAATTCAACTCTCATTATCAAGAAAACTAACTGGAAGAAGTTTTCAGGCATTCAACTTTTGCAGTTACAGAAGGGTGCTGAGCGGCTAAACATTATCAATCCATGGGACATTAAAGGACAGTTCAGTTAACAAATTCTGCAGTAATGTTCTTAATTGCTGAAAGAGGCAATTGAAATAAACCACGTGTGTGTGTGTGTAAAAGGAGAGGGACAAATTATTGAAAGGACTAAAAGTTTTAATTACAAGGAAAAAAAAAGACAAGGCATAGGAATAAAATCAAATCTAGATGAAAGGCTTTCCAATCTTATTAATTATCGGCTAAAGCAACTCTTTAAATACACCAAAAGTACTCCATGAAACACTAGACAAGCTATTGTGTCGCAGATAAATCCTCATAGCATTTATCTGATCCTCTAATAGAAATCAATATTTAAGACAGAAAGTGACAGTCTGTCTCTTTCTTCAGGTTCAATAAACAAATCTAACTGAGATGAGAAATTAGCCATTTTCCTGCTTCATTTTGCAAGCAAGAAACAAATATTATATTTCCCAAATCTGAAAAAAAGAAAACACAGTCTAACTACCTTAAAAACCTTTACATGGATGTGTATAAAACAAGCTAGAACTTACATTCATGGTAGTAGCGGTACTCATGACCCCATCCTCTCCAGGACGTCCAAACTTACTACCATCCTGGTAGAATCGGTGAACAAGATCCGGGGATTGCTGCAATATATGGTAGTACTGATGGGCGAAAGCATTGCCAACCTACAACCACAAAAAAAAACTCAACTAGATCCTTATTAAACATCCACAGCAAACAAAATACAAACAAAAAAATTTCAAAGGTTAAAAAACATACAACATCAGCAGCTGGAACTGGGAGTTGCGTCACTGGTGCTGCCATGACTGATCAAAATCTCTGAAAAATAAACCAAAGCCCTAATTTTAAGAAATTCTCTAATTTACACATTATCTTTCTATTTCCCAAGAATAAAACCGAAAATGACAAACATAAGATATACATCAAACATTTAAACTACTTTGGAGCGAAGCAAAATACAAGATAATCATTTACACTTAAAACTCCAAATCTGAAAGAAAAACCTAGCAATTAAGCTTCGAGTTAGACTTCAATTTCAATCGGAATCAAGCTGAAACTGAGAAAAACTTGTGACCGGAGAGGGATCATTTGATAGCTAAAAAGTGTAAATTCGAGAGAGGAAAGGAGCGAACCTGAGCCTGGTATCGAATCGGAGAGAGATAGGCGGCGAGGCAGGTGAGAGAAAGGAGGTTGAGGCCGGCGTGTGACTTTCTCTCACCTCTCTCGTTTGATCGAGTTGGAGCTTTCTAGGGTTTTTATGGATCTTGAAGAGGCGAGAGCGAGGGACAGGAGAGAGGAGTGAGCAGAAAGGGTTCTGGTGGCTTTTATATCATGGAGAATTTAGGGGAGGTTTTGCGTGACTCGTACGGGTGGGTTTATTTTTGTACAACCCTTCAAAATTAGTTGTGGAGTTATATTAAACCCGGCCCACTCTTAAACCGGATTTGAAATTCAAGATAATGATGAATGAGTTGATTCGGGTTAATTAAAATACTATTATTTTATTTAAAAAATATATATAATAACATTGTTTAGAGAAAAAATAATTTTAAAAAATTTTGATTCGTTGGATCTACTGAATCAACTTAATTCTAAGTTAATTTTAAAAAGAAAAAAACATAGATGAGGTGTATAAAATATTCGACATGAATTTTAAATTATTTATAATTATATAAATTTGATTTTTCTAATTTAGAATTTTTTTTTCAAAAGAAATGAGATACTAGTAATTAATTAAATTGTAGCTCCTTCACCATGTTAAGTTAATCATAATTTAAAATGCTAATTTATGTATATACGGAATGATAAATTCAAGTTTAATACATCTAAAAAACCTCTTTTGAAGGTTTAAAAATTCATGATCTCAGGTGTTACCTGTTGGGCTTGACTTAAGAAAATAGCTAACTTTTATGGGCTCAATTTAAAAGAAAAATCATGTTTTTTATAGGCCACTCGGTTATAATTTGAATTTCACTCTTTATATATATATATATATATATATATATATATATATAGAGAGAAATCTCTCTATATATATATATATATATATATATATATATATATAAAGTCCTTTGTAGATTGCCTTTTTACTCTGCCTCTCTCTATCATCTTCTAAGGAAAAAACCTTTAACCATCACAGTGATTTATTTACAGGGGCTAGCCTTTTCATCTTATTTCATTCTGTTTTTAAAAAATAAATTTAAATTTAGTTAAATATAGTTTTAATTCCTATTTATATTTTTATTTGTTTCACAAGTATATAGTTTTATTTTCAATTTGCTTCCTCGATTAAAAGTTGACTAATACATTTTATGATTTTTTTTTTAAATCAACAATCTTCAAAATCATAAAAAGATGAGATTTGATAATAAAATTATTGAAGATCTTTCTATAACAAAGTATGATAACAACCTGCAAAAGTTATTTTGTTTAATTTTTTTAGTTAGTAAGTTATAATTTTCATTATTACTAGGTTTTGAAAATAACAATATATTTTAAAAAAATGTTATACTTTTATGATATAAAAAAATAGATAAAAGTTCCAAATTCCATAACACTAGGAAGGCACCATAGTCACATAATCACATTGAAATATTTTTATTTTCAGCGTTTTGATTATGCGATGTAAAATAAATTAAAAAATAAATTATTAATATTTTAATTTTTTATAAGTTTATTTAAATAATAGAAACTAAATCTAAAAAATGAAAATGTTAAAGAAGGATGAAATTGAAAAAAATCCAATTTCATAAATTATTTCAAATAATATAAATAATAGTCAAAAGAATGATACAAATTATGACGGATAAAAAAGTTAAAAGATGATGAAATTAAAAAATTAAATTATTTTAATTATTTTAAATAAGAAAATACCAATAAAAAAATAAAAATCAAATTTGATAGATAAAAAAACTAAATTAATAAAAGGAAAAGAAAAAAATTACTATCAAAATAATAAGTTGATATAAAAACCAAGTTAAATCAGATTCTAAAGAACAAAATAAAAAAAAAATATAACAAATAAAAAATTAATAACTAAATTTAATATAATAAATAAATAACATGATGTTTTTAATTTTTTATAACTTATGAAAAATATATTCCAAGAACACTTTTATAGAAACTAATTTAAATTTTTTTTATAAAAAAAAAAAGTTTTATTAGTAATTTTTATAATAGTAAACAAACATGGAAAAATATGGAATGAAAAAGAATATTTTATTATTTCTATTGATTGTTTTGTATGGTTTTTAATTAGTAAGTTATAAGTTTTATTATTACTGGATTTTGAAAATAACAATATATTTTGCACGTGTTTGTGTTTTATATGATAGAAAAAAAGATAAAAATTCCAAATTCCATAGTGTCATGATATACTGAAATACATTTAGCAATAAAAAAGATGGACAAAACGCAAGTGTGGTCATGGAGTAACGGGAAAAGAGACTTGTTTTTTTTAGTTGGGTTTGATCTGTCATCTCTATGTGTTTTATTTGTTTATTAAATTTATAAAATGTTTAATACATTTAAAAATTAATTATAATATGTGTAAATTAACTCAAATAATCCGGACTATATATATAAAAAATAAATAAAAATTAACACCTCAAAAGAGTCAAGTCATCAATTGTAAATTAATGGCTGCTTGATCATGCGGTCCAACCTTGCACAAATCCAAGAGAGAACACAAGCACATCATACAAGAGAGAAAATTAGGAAAATTCAAGTGTTGATGCTACCATAATTAAGCTTAATATGAGATTAAGTACACAGGCAAGCCAAATGGGTAAGTAATTACCCTCCCTAATCCCCTTAAACTTGGTGTGATAAGAAGTGTTCTAAACAGGCATCCTCATCAAAAGTTGACCTTGCATGAAACTGCGAAGAGCAAAAAAGTTGCTATTAAATCAATGGATGTATAGAAACCAAACCTGTAGAGATGTCATGAGTGAAAGAATTGTCACCTCTTGACGTAGTAGTAACAAAAATCGGCCAGGATAAACGTCTGCACAGCTTCAGCGAGGAGAGCCGCAGGAAACCAGAAATACCCACTTCCAATCAAGAAAAGATACATCCCACGAGTCTCATAAACCTACATGTAAAATAATAATAATAATGCATGAGTTTTTATAAATTCTTGGACCAACCTTGAATTTTTTAAAAAAATTAATATAAATATTCAGTTAAGTTATATATCTCGACTAATACTATAAAATTTAAAATTAACAATTATACAAGTCTTAAATAGTCTTGAAAAAATTTAAACACAATAATGATTAAAATATAATGAATTAAGAACTTTTAATACATTTTAAATTTGTTCTAAAATAACTTATAAAAATAACTCAAAATAATATCATTTCATTGAAATAAAGGTTGATATATTGATTTGTTAGTCAACTCAATTCAAATCTAATTTTATAACGATGGAATAACAATAAAAAATCATTTTTCAAGTTAAATGGAGTTTTCGCACTATATTTTTATGTGTTATTCATGAATTTGTATTCTTTTCAAGAAATTATAAAAGCTAGTTTAATGAAGAAAAAATAACTATTTCCCCAGACAATATTTAAGTTAATCGTTATGCACAGGGAAAGCATATTCTAATTCTGAATGAATCTATGATTAATAAGACTAATCAAAGAGCAGAACAGACCTGGATTATCCAGTGAGCACAGGACAAGAATCTAGCAATACCCAGTGCAAAGACGTAATGGGCTGTGAACGGTTCAATCATCTAAAAAAAGAGATGAACAAATTAATGCAGCCATTGCAACCTAAAGATCAGTTTCTACAGCAAAAGGTGACCCAAACCTTTGCATTCTGCATGAGGCGAAGCTGAGGCAGCACCGAAACAGATTCCAAGAACACACAGAAGGCCCAGAGGACTTGACTGAAGTAACAAAATCTTGTGAAAGGGTTGACTATCAAGGCAAGGATAGAACAAGGCACCACCTACAGCAAGGATTGAAGAAAAATTAATGCAGACAAACCAATAATCGCGATATCATTTCTAGAAATCAAGCATTTATAAATTAAAATCTTAAAAATATATCTATAAATAAGAAAAAAATATATAAATTAAATATTGACAACCATAGCTTAACAACAATCAGCAGAACAAGAACAAATATACAGTGTTTGGTTACTTTTTTCTAAACAGGAAATATAAAGGCAATAAACAAGTTTTTTTTGCATTTATCTATTTTAAAAGTACATATATTTCCTTTAAAATTGAACCAGAAATAAATTTATTATATATATTTGTCTTCGTCCCTTCAACCACACATATTTGCATGTTTAATGTATATATTTATTGTATCATGGGATATTAATCAACCATAAATTGTGGGATTAATGTGACACTAAAATACTTAACTTATTTTGAATTTACAAGGATCAATACATATAGATAATCATGATTGTTTTATAACATTAAAAACAATATTATAAAAAATAATGTTTTTACCAAGTAATATAAGGGCATGTTGTCTAATTCTTTGATATAGGTTGACTTCAATTTGAACCGTATCATGTATATAACCCAAGTTGTTGAAATCAAGGTGGCCATGTCTAGCACTGAATGGGCATCAAGTTCCATCAATACGCCACAGATCAGTCTCGCAGCTAAAAACAGAGCTGTGATTTCTTGTGTTTTGAGTGAAAGACCTGTCCAAGGGAAACAATGATATAGTTATTGGAACTTTCTTAGACAGTATAGGACGGCAAAAAGGCATTTGATGCATAAAAGTAAAAAAAATCCTTTACTTAGCGTTTGTCTATGGTCTTTCAATAAAAAAAAATATAGAGAGATACTGGGAGATGAAAAACACGTCGTGTGTTTTTTATTTTCATGTATTTTTTATTATGAAAATACATGAAATATTTCTAATATTATTTTACAGATAAATTTATTTATATTTTTGTTTTATAAGTAAGCATGTTTTATATATTTTTTATATTTTTCAAAGCTAACTAAACATAAACTCAGTGATGCGGATGTATACGAGGAGATATTTGAAAATATAATAATAATTGTTTTTTAAAATATTTTTAACTTAAAAATATATTAAAATAATATTTTTTTAGTTTTATTTTTTTAATATCAGCTATTAAAATGATTTTAAAATACCAAAAAAATATTAATTTGAAGTAAATAAAAAATAAAATTTTTTAATTATTTAAAAAGTACTTTTAAAACATCAAATTAAACAGGAAATACACCTAAAATAAACAAACATTTTGCATTCATTGGTAACAATTTCTTTCTAGATACATGCATAGCAAGAATAAATTTAGATTTTGAAAGGATTGAAATCTTCTCATCTTTTTAATAGGACTTGATCAGCTATGTTCTTAATTAATTTTCCTATTACTTTTAAATTCAATAATTTGTATTAATTAAAAAACTAAATAACAAACAATTAAATTGTTTCAATTTTTATCATGCACTAAAATTATGATCATTGAATTTAAATTCAATGATTTACACTTAATAAACAAAATTCAATGACCTACTATGGCATGCATGTCATCAATTGCATTAATTGAGACAAAAATCAACAAAAAATCATATCATAAGAAAATGTTCATCTATATATATATATATATATGTATAATCGTTTTTTATACATGGATCTCTTGCGATTAGAAGAACGACCACTGGCAAGCAAAGAACAATTTATCAAGAAAATCCCATATTACAAAATTCAAAAGAATTGTCAAACTATAATGATTTCTTATAGTAACAATAAAAATAAAAAAGAGGCAGTCTTATGTATAATATATATATGTACCAGAACAGGTTTTATGGGTGGTGAGCTTATATATCAAGACGAAGATCCCAGCAGCATGGATAGCCTCGGAAAAGATAAAGAAATACTCATGATCTTTCACCGAGTGCTTTAAAGCCACCAGAAAGCACAGTGCAAGCACCACTCCAGCGAGAATCTTCACTTTCATCGACTGCCTCCTTACCCACCCAAAAAGCACGTTGACAGGTGAAGCTCTCTTCCTCCCCATGATTCTTTTCCGATCAGTTCAAAGAGAAAACGAGAGAGAAACGTCCACAGATAGATATGTCTGAGAAAGATAACGAGGAGCCTGGTTTGGAAAGACACGAAGAGGGCATGCAAGATTTGGTGTGTTGCGTGGCGTTTTATTTTGTTTCTATGACTAGAACCAGTGAAGTATTGACACGTGGATTTGATTTTAAAACCCAGATACAGTATCCCTACGTTGATGCCTGCTTGCCTGTTCGGGACTTCTGATTTTGACCTTGAATTTCTTTTCTTTTCCTGGCTTATATACCCATAAAATAAATTATTTAATTTATTCCTGGTTCCATTGCTTTTCGAAGGTTTTTTTTTTTTAATGTAAATACACCATTATTTCTCTTTCTATCCTCTCCGGTCTAATTCCTTCTCGGTTTAGTGAAAAATATATAAAAATCTATCATCCTTTTATGAATATATCTCCAACATGTCTATGAATCCATGGAATGCTTAATTGTGACTTATTTAATTATTGTATAATATAGGAGAATTGTACTTTATATTGTATTATATACCCTAAAATGTAACGAAACTTCCAATAAAAAAATACCAAACTTTGATGTGTTAAGAGTGTCACGATGAAAACATCATTGTCTCGGATGTTGATAAATCAAAAGTCACCAATTAGCGATGGAGATTTTAATTCTACTTCTTGTTGCGTTCGGTTAATTATTGTAAAAATAGTAAGTATTTGACAGTGATATTATTATGCTTGTTATAAAAATAATTACATTATATAAGGATTTATTCGATATAACTCGATTGATTTTACTAATTTAAAAATAACTCATACAACATGTAAAAATAAATTTTAACTAAATAAAATTTTAAAATAATATTGTTTTTAATATTAAAATAACAATATATTAGATTAACCTTAAACAACTAAGTTGAATTGTCAAATTCATAACACGGGTTATGAGACTATAATAATTTTATAAAATAAATTATTAAATTTAATTCTTAATCAACTTAACATTATTAATAAAATTGAAAAAAAATCAGTTAAAAAATGACATAAAAATGACTCGGTTTAACATGTCAAACTTGCAACCTGGATTATAAGACCAAGATAGCTCTATGAAAAATAAACTAAGATAAAATAAAAAATTTACTTCTTAATCAATCAAATACTAAATAATAGGATTAAAAAAAAAACAATAACATGAGTCAATTCACTAAACCCGTGACCCAACTCATTAAATTAAGGTAACTTATAGAAAAAATAAAAAAAAAAATTTGATTTAACCTAGATTCGCTTGTCAAATTCATGATTTTGATTTTGAGACTAAGATAATCTCATTTAGAAAAAAGTTAAAATAAATTATAAAACTTAATTCTCAATTATCCATGTTAGAATTAAGGTTGAACGATGAAAATTATAAAAATTTAAAATAAAAAAATAACATAAAAAATAAGCCAAGTTAACCCAAATTAATTATTGTCACTCTTATCGAGTTACGAAACCATGATAACTTAATAAAAAATAAATCAAAATCAACTATGAAACCTAATTTTCAATTAAATATGATAACAATTAATAAAATTGAAGAAAAATCAATTAAAAATAAGAGAACAAATGAGCCATTAGGTTAACCCGCGATCCGGATCACGAGATATGGATAACCCAATAAAAAGCAAGTCCAAAGATCAAGAACTCATGATCCATGTAACAAAACCAATAAAATCTCTTAGAAAGAAAATAAAATAAAAAACTTATTTAACCAGGGTTAAAATGCTAAAACTCGTGATCTTGATTTGAAGATTAAGATAATTTTATAAAAAATAAATCGTAATAGATTATAAAACTCAATTCTCAACCGATGTAGTGTTAAATGATAAAATTAATTAATTAATAAATAAAATACACAAAAAACAATCCAGGTTAACTTGGGTTAATTTGTCAAGTATTATTTTTGTGTCATGAGATCAGAATACTCTAGTGAAAAGTAAACAAATCAAATCATGAAATTTAATTATCAATCAAATCAATATTAAATGATAAAATAAAAAAATAAACTAATTAAACAAAAAAAATTGAGTCAACTGAATTAACCCGTCAAACACAAAATTTATATTATGAGAGTATAATAACTAAAAAAAAAAGTATACTATTAAAAAAAAGCAAAGCATAAAAAAACTATTCCAATGAATAGTATTTTACGAGAAGAGATATATTAAAATCCTTTTTTCTTTTAGTTTGTAGTTAATTAGTATAATAAATAAATAAATCTAAGTGGCTAAAAATATGGTTACCATTGTTCTTTTATTTTACAGTCCAATTACCATTGAATTCTTGATGCCCACCTTGCACTCTTGATTTTACCTTGGAATAGTAACATTTGTTTTCTTTTCTTTTTTTTAAAGAAAAAATATTTTATCAAGTTGAGTTTTCAAAAAACTAAGTATATATTACTTAAACTCAATTGATTTCCATTTTGATGAAATATATTTTCATAAATTAATATATATTTTTTTTATAAAAACGCATTTTCCATTAAGAAAACCATCATCCATTCCCCTAATTCTTTCATTTTTTACTTTTATTCCACAAATATTTATTTATTTTCTTTTTTTAAATAAAAAAACACTAAAGAAATTATATCTCATATTTCTTAGTTATAGTTGATCTAAATTCCTATCCTTCGAGATTGACAAACTAATTAGAGTTGTGATAAAATAAATGATTCCCCATATTATCAAACAAATATTGATTATTGATTCACTATTTATATATTAAGTGATACACAGATCGTTAATTAAATCTCACCTCAAATCATCAGTATATTATATTTACAGGGTGCAAGAATAATCTTATTGTAATTGAAAGTAAATAAGAAAGACGTATGCACGTGCAAAATAAAATTCATAAATATTCTAATTTTTTCTTACCCTCCTATATTTCCCTTTATGTCTGGAGAATTGATAATATAAAATAATTTCTCAATTCAATACATATAACAATAACAATAAAAAAAATTTAATAAAATAATTTTTTATTTTTTTCTATTTATAAGTCGTTAGATTATATTAATAAATAAATAATATAGTCGTAAAATTCAAAAATCTATACTTGAGAGGTTGATTTAACCGACTCAAGGCTTGATAGGTTCGGGTTGATAAAAAAACCATTTAATTTAATTAAAAACCTGGATTCAACCTAAATTTGATTAAAATTTTACTTTTAATATTTTTAGAAAAACAAATGATAATTATTAAATTAGTATTATTTAATAAAAGTAGCTCCAAACATTAGAAAAATAATGTTATTTAAAGAAAGCTAGATGCGGTCAGCTATTAACTCTGTGTGTGTGTGTGTGTAACTGTGTGTGTGTGGATGGGTGGGTGTGTGTGTGTAACTGCCACAAGTCTTTTTATCTTTTGCCCTGCATTGTTGCCTTCGTCTTTATTGGAGGAGACTTGCATTTCTACATGTGAGAACTTAGAACTGGTGAGCGTGTAAATAAATTTGATTGCCGGCAAGAGTGGAGTATGGTGTTATATTGCAAATTTGCAATTATATAAATAATGTCCAAAGAAAATCTTTAAAATCGTGTTTAGTTAAAGTGTTCTTGAGAAATATAAAAAAGGAATAAAAATGTATTTAGTTGAAAGGATGAAAATAGAGATATAAAATAAATTTATGATAATTTTAGAATGAATTTATATTTTTTTAAAATAAAAAATACAAACAAATAAATATATTTCTTCTATTTTTATTATCTTCAAATGCTGTGTTGAGGGTTTGACTCCCCGGCTTAAACTAGTAACATTTCACGCTAATTTAGAGTAAAATGTTATATTTTTAATGCTCAATCTCCTTCTTATGTTTTTTTTTCTTTCCCACACCAGCCATCACAAAAATAGATACAATAATCATTAAACATGATGCAACTTATAATATAAAAAATATAAGATTTAAAATTTAATTTGGGCATATCATATAGAACAATACTAATATTTTTTTAATATAAAAATAAAAATATAATTTTTTAATTAAATTATTGAATCCATGACCCTTGAATTTGTGAAGCTTGCTCCGCCAGCCAGCCAAGTCAAAAATAGGCATCAATTCGGTGTTACTTAGAGCACTAATTGGTATCGCTTGTTTTAATCTTGTTTTTTGTGAGACCTAAACAAGTATGTTTGCCTGTAAATAGATAGTGAATCCTTACTATATAGAGCACAACATAAGAGAGAAATAAGAGAGGAATAGTAGAGTGAGAAAGGGAAAATAATTTTATAAAATTATGAGGTATTTGTGATAGAGTAAGTGATGTGTTTTTTCTTATTAGTAGAGAGAAATTGTAATTCTCATATTACTTAATAAAATATTTTTATATTTAAATATGGCCGTAGTTTAATTTGAGTGAACCATATAAATTTCTGTATATTATTTTTCATTTTATTCTATTTTTTATTTTATTGGATTTCCATCCCAGTATTCTAATAGAGTTTACCCAATGATCTAGTAATTCAATTATTTTTCCTGGATTTAGTTTCAAGGCCAGTTTGACAATTATGGATGGTAGATGAAGGTTCCAAGGCATTGGAATTATTTCAAGGATTAACTTGCCAAGAAAATTAGAGTACAAAGACTACATTGCATATTGGTAAAATTGCAGGGACAAAGTATGGCAAACTTTCCCGAAACAAGCGTGCCATCTAAACAGAATGCAGCAGAATGCCCTAAGCTGACTTCAAGATCCAGCGGGCCGCTAAAACCACATCTTTGCTCAAACATTGTCAGACGGAAACTCCTATGCTAGGTAAATTAATCATCAGTCGAGGTCACACATCAGCAGACTACCTGTAAAGAATGGCTGCCAATTTCTGGACCTCCTCTCACTAGTAATATGAATCTTTCCTTTTCTTTTTTCTTGTTTTTTCATCTCTTTTGAGGGTGTTTATTTACCTGTTCCTGGATGAATTGTGTGCAGCAAACATCTTCTTGACCAAGAAGACGTGGATGTAGTGCAACCACTTGACAAAGAAAAGGGCATAACTCTTGAAGATTTCAAGCTCATTAAGATGCATATGGTCATTCGTACGCCTTTCTGTCTTTCTTTTCCTATCCTTCTCTATATTATTATGTTCACTATTGAGTTTGTTTCTTATTCTGTTAGATTTCACCTAGGAAATCTTGATTTTTCCTGGCTTATGAGATTGCAACCGAAATTCTGGGACATGGGTTTTTGTTGTTTACATATGTTTGGTCTTAACAATCCAATTCTTACAACTACTTTTATTGTAATTCGCATATACATGTGCCCACACCAGTTGATAGTGTTTTTTTTTACCCCTTTCTTTCTTGTGTATTATTCACCATGACATTTGCTAATTTGCGTCTTTCGATTTTCTATTCCCCTCAGCTATATGCAAATTGGCTCAATCTGTTAAAGTGAGGCAAAGGTTTGAACTTTTTCTTTAAAAGATTTATATACTGCTCTTCTTGTCTTGTCTAATACCCCATATTTGGAATTCCAGGTAAGACGCCCCGGTCATTAATCATTCCATTTTATCACCATAGTTAATTTGATAGGGATTATTTTGTTTTTTCTTGTTTGGTTTCATAAGATGTCACCAACTAGTTGCATTTTTAATTTTTTGCTTGATGTTTCAGGGTTGTTGCTACTGCAGTTACATATATGAGGCGTTTGTATACCAGGTATTAATTAATTTCTGATGGCGGGAAGAAGAGTATGATGACCAACAAAGGGAAAGTGATTTGAATGCCAATTCTTGTAGTATTGTCATTTCTAGTCATCTAAAATACTCTTCAATTTTCAATCATAGGCATTCATGAGTGCTCGGTATCCATTTCTAGTATCCATTTGCATACAAATGGATAAGTTTCTTCCTCTTCTTCTTTTCTCAAAATGTATATTTGGCCATCCTATCTCTCATTGGCTTGATCTTCTGGGATGCGATGCCTTGTCAGCCTTCTTCCTGTTTTTTTTCTCACCAACTTCTTCAGATCTCTAATCATCCACTTACTCTTTTCTTCATGAGGTCTCTCTAATCAGCTTCCCTCTTATTTGTAAATGTAATATTAAAGCTGATGCATTGCCTAGAAAACGGCCAGTATTTTTTGTAGTATCGCTCACTAGTCTTTATTTCTCATTGTGCTTCCAGAAAGAGTATGTCAGAATATGATCCACGTCTTGTAGGCCCAACTTGCTTGTATTTGGCATCAAAAGCAGAGGAGAGCACAGTGCAAGCCAGACTTCTTGTATACTACATCAAAAAAATATGTAATCACTTGTTAGCAGACTTGATCGATTGATTCACTGAGTTCTTAAAATATTTCGATTATTGGACTTATATTTTCTACTAAAATGCTTACAACCTGGCATTGTTGCCCCACAGATTCTGATGACAAGCATAGATATGAGATCAAAGACATACTTGAGATGGAAATGAAGATTTTGGAAGCTCTTGACTATTATTTAGTTGTATTTCATCCTTATCGTTCATTGCCTCAGTAAGTATTTTATCTTCTTTGCCTTGTTTCTTATGCATTAAAATTCATTTTAAACTGAATTAACAGGTTGCTTGAGTAGGTTTTTTTAAACTGAATAAACAATGCCATCAAGTTAAGGATCAAAACATGATTCATATAGGCTCTTTTCTTTTCTTTTTTGCAAATTGCATCTTGGTTGATGTCTGCCGTGCTTAAGCTCCAACACAGACTTTTACTTTTCCTTTTTGTTCTTTGTATTCTCATTTTTGTTTTATTTATTACATGTTATGAATCTCAGTTAATTACGTGGATTTAGATTATTATTTATTGGTTAGATATCTTTATATAATTAGACAAGACAAGATTACTATTTATTGGTTTCCATTTTCTGCCTGTTCCTTATATGAGCACATCTAAAAGAAATGTTAATGGACAGATGATCTTCATATTGTTTAATAACTTCAAGCTGTTCCAAAAGTCTGAGTTGGGGGCATGTTTCATATTAAGTTGACTACTAGAACCGAAAGCGCACCTTAAAATTATTGATTGTTGAACTGGACATGACAAGTTGTTTGACATGTTCCTAATTACAGAAACATAATTTCACAAGTTTAGATTAATCAATAGTAATACTAGGTTTCAAAAATTTTAAAATGATTGGCTGCTGAATTTGAAGTGATTAGTTATCTTGCATGTTACTAACTACAGATGCCTAATTGCACAACTTTAGATTCATTAATACCACCTAATACCTATGAATCTGTTTTACTGGTGGTATATTGTTTTCTTGTGATATTGCAGTTTCTGTTTTGCAAATTGAGTATCTTATTTCACAAGAACATTTTCTCCTGTGTTTCTTCACATCTTGGCAGATTTTTGCAGGATGCTGGCATGAGCGATATAAGTATGACTCAATTAACATGGTAAGGCTCCAGTCTCTAAGGCCAAGTAAACACCCATCTCCTAACCTAGAAAAGATGCATTCTTTCATTATAGTCCTTAAAATATGAGGTTTGTTTTATGTAAGTTTGGGCATCCAAACAACATTCGTGTTAGGGATAGCTTCTTACGGGTGATTGATAGTTGGCGTTAAAAAGTGTGTAGAGCTAGTTTGTCGCTCGTTATATATTGTTCTTATCATGTGGGCCATCATCATGTTCATTGTGCATGCGTCCGGATTGGTTCATGGTGGCTGCCTCCTCTCTCTGTGGCCAAAAATCCCAATTGTAACTCATAGTTGAAATTCCTTTGTCCTTTGGAAATGGCTGATAAGTTAAATGTGAGAAGACTAGCGGTGAAGATGGCCATTGTATATTACAGTTCTGTTGCTGGACCCCAATTCTCTTCCCCCCAACCAGCCAGAATGGAAAAAATAAGCACCCCTGGGTTTTTAAATATTAAAAGAATAAATTGACAATAACTATGTTTAAGTCTGAAAAGTTTCTGAAAACAAAAGACTTTGTTCCAATCTCTGCACAAACCTTTTTTCTTCTCTATCTCAAAGCAGCTGCCATAAATTGAAGAGTAAATTTGTTATATTGATTTTTCTAAGTTTTATTTTTCTCCTGTGGATATATCCTTCTTTTATGCTAGGAATTGCATCATAATTTTAATGTCAGCGTCATGATTTCTTGATCTGAGTTAAAATGAATTAACCATGCTGAGATATACAGGGGACTTGTGAACGACACATACAAGATGGATTTGATTCTTATACATCCCCCACATCTTATTGCCTTAGCCTGCATATACACTGCTAGCGTGTATAGAGAAAAAGATAAGACAGCATGGTTTGAAGAGCTCCGTGTAGATATGAATGTGGTGAGTTCTCTAAGCTCAATTTTGCGGTTGTTGTTGTTCCCTCCTATTATTGCGATAGACTCTATTGAAACTATCACAACTTTCTGCTTTGAAAGATAACTGAAGCATCGATTTATCCTAAGAACCAAAAGGCTAGGCTTGCTCCGTACCTGCGATGGGTCTCGCTACCTGTTGAAACATAAAGTATGATGTCCCTTACGTGGAAGGTCCTGTTTGGAATTGTGGAAATTATGGAAATTTTCGTAGCGATAAAGTGATTTTTATATAGAAATATATTAAAATAAAATTATTTTTATTTTTTAAAAATTATTTTTGACATTAATGCATTAAAACAATCCAAAAAAATTAAAAAAAATTATTTTAAGAAAAAAAATAAAAAATTTTAAGAACATAGTTGTCACTGTATTCTCGTATTCTCGAACATGCATAAGCAGCTTGTCTATCTTACTACGCTTTCTTTAGGTTAAGACTTGGTCTTCATGGGAGGCTTTAGCTATGCCCTGAAAGGTCACTATAACCGGCCACCTGACACTTTTCATGAATCCTGTTCAAGTATGGGAGTTACCTGATTTTGTGCCAGATGGTGGATACGTTCTTGGGCCAAGTTACCTTTTAAGTGATGTTTTTAAGCCGGCCCACCAGAATTTGCGTGCACACAGAAATGCACAATACATAACTGGTGATCTTGAAATTTAACAAACTGCTGCAAAAAGCTTTACTTAATTTATCATGTTGGATCTATGTTGCTTCAAATAATGAGCCTTCGTGTCTGATTTGGCAGGTGAAAAATATTTCAATGGAGATATTAGATTTTTATGAGAGTCATAGATTGATTACGGATGATAGAGTTGCTGCTGCTTTCAACAAGCTGAAACCCTAAATGGTTTGGCGATGCCTATTTCCTCAACTCAAAAGTTTCCGATTCCACGATGTTGCAGCTCCAGCTACGGGCCCCGTGTAGTCTGTGGAAATGAAAATTGCTTGGCACTTGTCAATAAAAATTGGCTCTTTTGGAAGAGATACTGTCAATGTTTAAGAGATTGTGTGGTTATGATAATTATTCTTTCTATTCTATTGAAACAGCTCTTTGATGAGCAAGATTGAATTCATTTCAACCTGTTTGATTTGGAAACTTCATACTCCTGCCCATATGCGTGCGCATGTGTTTAAAAATTGGCATTATTCCAAATTTATGAGCTTAAAGCCTCAAAACTCGTAATGGTGTGTCACTTTGACAGCCATCCGTAAAAATCCTGCGTTCATCAACTAATTTGTGTCTGCTTATGTTCAAACTGAACTTCGAATATTTCCATGACAGCACCATGTAAAAATGAAAATGTGTTTATGACTAGATGCAGCAATGATGTCAGATGTTGACCAATTAGTAAGCATCATATATGAGCATGGAGGCTGATTTATGTTTAGATCTTGGAAATATGAAATCAGAAAACGCCCTCATGCGCTTCATAGAAGGAAAACCCCTGTTATGCCAATCATCTGGGCTATATTGTTTTCAGAGTTTGTTGATGTCGCAACTGGTAATTTCATATTATGGTCAGCATGATTGTTGCTCGTTGAATGTAGCAAACTGGATACATCATCCACAGATCAAAGACAAGGTAGCATTTCTGCTTGCATTACAGAAAAGGATTCATCTGCCTTAAGAGGTAGCATATTCTACATGTATTATATGCATAAGATTTTCACACAGCAAGAGCAGTACAAACAGAAAAGTGAGGTGATGCATTAACCATGTAGGTAGAACAACGGCGAAGCAATTCCTGCTCCTTACATCTCTCACGCCCACGCCCTTTCATTATACTGTTCAATATCATTTAGAGCAATTCCATCTAGTGTTTCTCTTTTTTCTTGCCTTGCTGCTTCTCTACACAGAGCAAGAACGAAATCATGAATAAAAGAAAAATTACATAAAGAATAGCACGTAACAAACAGAATGTGGCAAAGGAAAAGACACTACCTAATTTTCTCCTAGCTTCAGATCTGGCAAAGAACTCCCTCCATTCATCTGTAAGAACGAAAACAGGGTCGTCATCTTCCTCTTCTTCTTCCTCTTCCTCTCCTAATACATCGCACTCTGGCTCTTGCAACACCCTGTTTATTATGAGACGCTTACAGTTACATGGAAACCAAAATTTGAAATTTGGAGAAAAAAGCAGCAGAAGAAGATGGTCACGACTTACTGGGCAACTGGGGCAGATGTTTCTCTGCTGGCAGTGGAATCCAAGTTCAAGCCTTTTACCAATGGATAAGAAAGAATAGGTCTTGGATGTTGAGCAGCTTGAAGAGCAAATCTAGGACTTACATGTAAAGGGCAACTAGATTGGTGGTGGTGGTGGTGGTGGTGATGGTGATGGTGCTGGTGCTGGTGCTGGTGCTGGTGGCGTTGGCACAAGGGATGGTGGTGGTGGTGGTGGTGGATTGAGCATGGAGACCATGATCTGGATGAAGGTTCCATTGATTACTGGTTCTTTACTAGGGTTTTACAATTTTCTGTATTGTTTCGGCTGGAGGGCTTATCTGAGGAAAATTTCAGTAATTGTAATTATCAAATTTTGATTCCAGGGGTGCTCTATTTTTAATTGTTTTCACTTAAGTGTCTCCGTTATTAATAAAATATTGATGGCATTTTAACACGTGCCATGTCATTCTCAAGGGACCCGCTATTCATTTTTTAAAAAAAAAACAAAGAAAAATTATTCAGTGAAAGACGAAATTAAAAATTAAATGAAAATAAAGGAGAAAAAATTTCTCTTGATTAAAAAAACATAAAAGATATAGGCACTTGAATTAAAAAAGTAAAATTAAAGATATTTAATTAATTTTTTTTTGTGAAATCCAAATTATTATCAGCTCTGTTTGGATTCGTCCATGCCGGCTGGAAATTCATTCCCGCGTTTTAATGTTAATGGGTGGCCATAACTTTATTCTTTTTTAATTGATAGATATCTTTTATTTTGGAAAGAAATCCAACCAATTTATTTTAAGTATAAATAGTCATTTAATTGGCTTATTCTAAAGAGAAATAAATAAATGACTAAATAAAAGAAAATCAAATTCAAAACAAGATAAATCATATTCTAAGAAATATGACACTTTATACATTATTTAAAGAGAAATAGGAGAAAAGTCCACGTTAAATCACACAAATTGCACATGAAAAGGGTTGGTGGCTTGGCTTGGTGCTCACCAGCACCATGTTATTTTCAATCCAGTGTACATGAAAAGCAGGTCTTGACATAATTTAAAATTTTGACTTTAAGATTGTGTTTATTCGTTTGATAAATTTCACGAGGCTAGAAATGTAATTATCAATGATTATTTAATGAAAGAGAGATAGATGAAAAAAATAAAAAAAAATCATATCCAATTTCATAAAAATTAATAGGAACATAGAGAGATAGATGAAAAAAATAAAAAAATCATATCCAATTTCATAAAAATTAATAGGAACATTTTTACATATTTATTTAAAAAAAAAAACAATTGTGTTTATTTTAACCAATGAGAGTTTGCTCAAAAACCACAAGGAAGGCTTTCTCAACTTTTGCGTTTTGAAAAGCCTACGGCCGAATTTAGGAATCTTATTAGTAGTGCGAAAACTATAAGCTCCGCGGCTCACACAGCTTTTTATTTATTCTATATTTTTTTTATATCTATCTTTTCAATTGAATAATTATTAATAATTGTATCTTGATAATTATAAAATTTTTGAAAACATAGAAAATAATCTTAAAGTCAAATTTTTTAAATCTTTTCTTAGCATCATGATAACGTTTACTTTTTAAAATATTTATCATTCAAAAATATATTAAAATAATATTTTATAATTATTTTTAAAATTTATTTTTGATATTAACACATTAAAATAATTTTAAAAAAATATAAAAATAATAATATCTAATTATGAGCTTTAGTAGCCGTCGCAAACAACATAAACCTTAATTTATTAACATTATATCTTCACGGCTACTCTATATTTTTTGTATGTTGGGTACTGTTTTAAGCCTCCGACTATTGTTATATTATTTGTTGCACTAAAATATAGTAATTTAATTGTTTATTACATCAACATAGAAGTTTGTAAAAATACATCTCAATCACTAAACTTACTTAAAAACTTCAATAATGCTTAAAACAGTAGTAATGAAAACTACTGAGATTTTTATAGACAACATTAAAAATAATTTATTAACACTATTAATTCATTTTTAATACATAGAATTAATAAAATTAACTACTTAATTCTATATTAAAAAATTTATTTCAACTTAGAACATAAAATAGTCTAAATCTTAAGATAAGGCATGATAAACTAGAAAGATGCAATATGTATTTTATGATATTTGTATAAAGACAATAGAGAATGAAATGAGACCCAACATTTATTTTGACAAAGCTGATTATAAATATATAACCACTACTTTTAAAGAGTAAACTGACCAGAGTTTAGAGTTAAGAACTATTTACGCCACTAGTGAGTGATGAAAATTTAAAATTCAGGTCTGATTTTATTGCAATAATGTTCAAAGTTAATTACAATTTTCTAATTTTTCTTTTTAAATCCTTCATATTCATTTAAATCAATGTTTTTTTTATTTTAAAAGAAATATGTGGAGCTAAGAAATTTAGGCATTTTGATATCGAGTCAGCTTTTTATGGTAAATATAATATCATATTTATAAACATTATGGCTACCGGTAAATTTATTTGAACACCTTCTCAATGAATGTTTTGGAGTGATGTAGAGGTCAATGAATGTTTTGGAGTGATGTAGAGGTGGGTGATGGGACCAAAAATATATTTAATGAAGATGTTAACCTAGAAAGGGGTAGTAGAAATTCCAAGAAAGATAGTATACAAAACTTTGTTGATGATGTCAGCAATATAGTTATTGGTGTCAATGTTAATGTTAGTACTAGTAACTTAGTAGTAGGGTAAGAGAAAAGCAAATAAAAAATGTTCTGGTAAAAGTGTTAAAAAAAAGGCTTTAAAATGGGAGTGCAATTTTTTTCACACTTAAATAAATTGTTGACTTAGTTAATAATGTCTTTACAAAAAGTGACAACATATTTGGTTTTATGAACAGGAAAGGGTGAAAAAAATCAAGAAGTGATGGCGGAGTTTCATTCCATAGATGAAGTTGTTTTGGGGAGTAATTCTATTGTTTCGCTATTGAATATTTCATGGTTAGAAGTAGAAAGGAAATGTGGGCAACACTTGAAACTATGAAAAGAAAACTTCAATGGTTAAAACTAATGTTTTAGAAGAGATCAAACCTCAAACTATGAAGTGCATCTCAATCTTTAAAGGGAATTTCAATTATAGATTACTTGATATTGATGTGAAACCTAAAATATGTTGTACACATTTTAGACAACTAACATTGCAATTGATCCTTAGAATTCAAAACCTTTTCTTTTATTGTTAAGAGTACTAGAAATTTTAAATTAAATGTTGAGAATCATGCATATTTTTGGCATATATTGCATTGATTTATTTATTTAATTGCTAGATGATGTATATACATAATATTAATTTCAGTTGGATTGTATATCTAGACTTAACATTCTGTTCACTTTTTGCCTTGTATGAAACTGATTTTTAGTGTGCAAACTTTTTTTTTTTGCAATATGGTTTCTTTGTGTTTCTATTGAATTTCTGTAAGAGACAGATTAACACATAACTGTTATTGCAGATGTGGAATTGTTTGTGCTACAATCTTTTATGTTGTTGTTTTCATTGTATAATTAAAGTGATATTGTTGTGGAGCTTTGTTTGTGCTATTTGCTGCCAATTTTTATTTGTTGTCTTTATGAGGGCATACCATGTTTTCTCATTTGTACCGTGTGCTTGTTGTGTTATTGACAAAGACTTGCAATTATGTATTCTATATCCAATGTTTTCTTGATGTTTTTAATAAGTGTCGAGTATGTCTTTGTGTTGTTATGTATTGTAGCCTATTGAACATAAAACTTTTAGGTGAAAAATTTAGGTTTGAATGCCTGATAAAGTGTATATGTATTGTATGCCTACGAGTGTTTCTTTTCCAGCCTATATAATTCACTATTTCAAAAAAGTTGAACGCATCACTTTCAAATGCATTTGTGGTATAGCTCATTTACTTTGATTCTCTCAAGGAATTTTTATTAAAGTATATCAGCCTATATATTTTTTTGTAGTAAATTATCTTTCTTTCATTGTGTATTCATGCTTTATGTTAGACTCAATTTCTTAATGACATTACTGTTACTTTTTGCACAAACAAAATAGTAACAATTAACTAATTACAAATTGTTTGGAAGACATATATTAATTGTTTAAGATTTTAGGATGGGATGGATTTTATTGTAATTAAAATAGTGAGATAAATAAATGAAATTTAATGGAATAATGAACAAAGTTTTTTTTTTTTTGTAAATTTAAAGGGGATTAACAGAATAATAAAAATTATATTTGCTATAAAAGTAATGTGATTTATTGAGGTTTGAATATAAAGCTTATAAAACATATACATTAATAAAAAGAAATAATATATTGTTCTTTGCTCATAATTATTTAATTAAAATTGTAGATGTGAATGCAAATTGGTTTAAGGACTTTTTTGGAGAGGAATATGAAAATGTCATGAACAAATATCGCTTAATATATTTCACATTTATACATTGGTAGGAATAGTGGTAGTCATATTGATTTTAGTAGTGGTGCTATTGATGATAACAATATAAACGATGATAATGACAATGATGATAATGATAAAAATGACGATATGGAGGATTTATTTTTGCATAGAGAATTTGATCGTTGTAAACTAGTATTGTGCACAATAGATGCACTTGTATTGTATTACAATAACTACATTTATAAGCAACCTTGTATGATTTCATACAACTCATGAATGCAGTGGTTGAATGAAATTTTAAATGGACACTGCATACATCGTGTAAATATATTTAGGATGAATGCAATGGTGTTCAAAGTTTTTTTTTTTTTTGTTTAGAAACACTATATAAACTGAAACTATAAAGGAAAACTTGTGTTGTAGAGAAAGTTGTCATGTATCTTTATACTTTAGCATTGAGTGCTTCTAATAGAGAGGTCTAAAAAAGATTTTAATATTCCAGTAAAACAATGAGTAGGTATTTCAACGAGGTTCTAAATGTTGTGTGTTTGTTATCAGTTGAAATAATAAAACCAATTGATTTAGAATTTTCAACTACATCACGAGAAATCGCTATGAATTCGAGATATATGTTATATTCTAAAGTAACATTTAAGTTTATCAATGGTTGAATATGTTTTTCTTTCCATTTTCATTATATAATCTATTTGGCAATTTATTTATAATTAATGTTTTAAATTTTTTTAAAAAAATTATGTAGGAGCAATCGATGACACATATGTATGTGCCTGTATGTCCCAAGAGAATCAAATGTCATTTATTAGAAGGAAAGGAGTACCATTGTAAATATTATGACGACATATAGCTTCGACATGCAATTTATTTTTGTTTGGTTTGGATAAAAAGGTAGCGCACAAGACACAATAATTTTTCATAAGGCCATCTAAAAAATTTT